CCTTTTCCACAGATTCTTGGATCTTTAGTTATGATTAGAAAGGGGCATTAATTCAAGAAGGGAGGATGAGGGAGGGGTGTCTGTGGAGGTTTGGGAAGAGGAGGGGGAGGAGAGGAAATCATTCTGTGTTCACCCCCCACACCCCCGCGCCCCCCCAGCCCAGGCCTGGGTGTGAGCCGCACACTGCAGATTTGGATTCTGAGCTTCTTCTAAATATTCTGATCACCAACCTTGAGTGTTTCCAAGCTAAGATTCCAAAGGATGGTTTTTCCTTGTGGTTGGTTCTTTTGGTTAGGGAATAGGAGAGGTCCCGAAACCTTATAGAACTGGGCAAGGAGGAATGGAAACCACTCTCCTGGGCGAATCCCCAAGGATGGTTGGGAAGGGAATCCTGGGCTGCAAAATCTGGGCAGCGGTGCAGACTCCCTCTTTGCAACCAAAATTTGCCCTGGTTCTGCGTGATCTCATCCACTTCTGGAAGCCTGTAGAAGTGGGCTTCTGGCCTTCTTTGTGGGGGTTCTCTAGAAGGAAAGCAGGCCTGAGCACCCGGGAACAATAGCAGACCCCAAACTAGGCCCAGAGGAGCAGAGAACAGGAGTGAGCTGCTGTGCAGGGGCTGGGGGAGTATTCCTAATGAAGGCCAACCTTGGCTTATGACCCCCAACAGCCGGCGGTCAACTCTAGGTTATTCCCAGGGCCCCCAGCTCCCCCCAGGAAGCATCAGTTCACAGGGTGACTGACAGACCCCAGATTCCCATGATTCCTAAAAACAATAGCGATGTCATTAGCTGGGGCTTCTACCCCTTGCCACCTGACCCTGCCCCATCCCATGGTCGTCTATAATTTTTGGCCCCTCTTCCTCCCACGCCTAGTCACCCTGGGCCATCAGAGAGACTCAGAGGTCACTGCCCTTGAGCCAGAAGGCAGTCACCTAAGCTGAGGCCTTGGATTCATGAAGTCACTTCTGCCCCTGTGTAAGTGTAGACAAAGGCCGGCATCATGGGGAGAGGAACTGGGAGCTTTGCAGAGGGAGGAGCTGGGAGGTGGTTCTGGAATGTTTACCGCTGGCTGGAGCCTCTGGTGCCAAGGATCTTGAAGCCTGGAATGAAAGAGATGAAGGCAGGGAGGATGCTGAGGTCGCCCCCCTCCCACTTCCCATGTATCCCCCCAACACACGCACACACCCTCCACCCCGCCCCCGTCTCTGTCTACAGTTGCTCTGTGGGGCCCATTCGCCCCATTAGCCCTGGGCATCTTTGCGCCGGGCCAGGAAGGACGGAAGGCAGGGACCACGGGGGCGGGGCCCGGCGGCTTCCTGAGGCCCCTGGGAAGTCCTTGCTCCCCATGCTCGCGGCTGCGCCCGGGGAGGCCGGCTCGTTCCGGACGCCACCAACGCGCCCCTCCTCGGAGATGCCCGAGACGCCGCCCGGCGCCCGGGGGCGCTAACGGTGGCCATACCCGCGCGCCCTAGGGCCCCGCGCCCACCGGGCGCCCGCGCCCCAGCAGGGGACTCGGATTTGTATTGGAATTTAGTTTAAGTTTTCCAAGAGGATTGCCCCGGCCAGGGTGGAGCGCCCAAGAACATCAAAACACCAAGCTCCGCGGCGCTCCCGGGTGGGCGCATAGAGGGAGGGAGCAGGATTCAGGGCCAGAGGCTCCGCCCTTCACCTTGGGACCCCCGGCCCCACCCGCGAGCCGCCCCAGGAACTTTCTGTAAATAAGATCATTGGCTCTAGATCGTTTGATTTTTATTCTATTAATTTTCCGGCCCATTTTGCAGATTTACCTTTTTTCCTGCTCTAGTGAGAGACGTGGCAAGCAGGAAAAAGTTTTAGAAAGAAAAGAAGGAAAGCCAGATAGCAGGTTTTCAAATCTGTACAGAAATCTCGATAGGGTTGGGGTTTTCCGTGGTATGGTTTGATGCTCATCTAAAAGGAAAGTCAGGCGAGCAAACGTTGTTAGGATTTGCCAACTGCTCCAGCATGAGGGTCTCGCTTGCATTCCGGTATTGAACACGGCTGCAGTCAGATCTCGGGTGCTCAGGAACTGTCTTAAGAGGGCAAACTTGAAAACAACTCATTTCAAAAAGGAGCTCTTCCATGTAGGGGCTTTTTCTTATAGGGACCCTCAGTTTTTTCGATCCCCGAGTGTGGGGGAGTTAGGCAAGTGTCGTTGCACCTTCTTAAATAAATCTGCTTTTTCTTTTTCCTTCTCTTAGGGAAGGATTCATGAATGTATAGATAAATATGTTGAAACTGAAGCAATGATCTCAGCATCTGAGACTGTCAGATTATACAAAAATCCTTTTTGATAGAATGGGGGGAAACCTGTGGTAATCATTCTAAGATTAAATCTGTTCAAAGATGATATTTGAGTCTTTCCATTTTCAGGCAGGGAATCCAACATATTCTTTCATCTGCCATTTATTTACTTTATCTATCTATCTATCTATTTATAGATCTATCTATCTATCTATCTATTTATGGAACCCTTTAATGTAACACAGTGTAGAGGGGGAAGCAGTTAAAAGATAAATCTGCAGTTTCCACATTATGAAATAAAAAAAGATCATAGGACAGAATTCATCAGTCTACTCTATGTTTTAGTAGGCATGAGCAAAACGTAGCCTTGAATCGTCTGTCTTAGAATGATCTTCCCGTAAAACCTTCGCCCGACTTGGCGTCACCCGGGGCAATGCAGCGGCACACGCTGACCCTCGGTAGCACGTTTTCAGGGTGCACCGACCGTGTTAATTCCCTGCACTGGACGGTAACGAGACCTTTTAAAATCTTCCTTGGAATATCACTGCACATTCCAATGCTATTTAAAAAATACTATTTAATCGTTAGGTAAACAGATCCAACTGTTAGTGACTGTGCTGGCAGACATCTGGCTTGGACTACACCATCTTGGTCCAGGCTGGAAAATCTCCTCTCCTACCCCCCCGGGAGTCCCCCTTGTCCCCACCGCTCATCCCCAATAACTAGCCTGGGCAAAGATGATGAGAACAGAGAAATCGCAGTGGCTTTTGGACTCTATTCAGGTGTACAAACAGAATTGTTCTCTCCTCCCCCTCTTTTGAAAGTAAATGCCTTGATAATAGGATGGGTTCCTCAGGTGGCCAGAGCGTAGAGGTCATCTTGGGGAAAATGACACCAATGATCTAAAAAGGACTTCTACTTTATGAGATTTCAGGCAAGATGCCAAATATCACATTTGATGAGGCCTGATTCTTTTTCTCCCAAAATAACAGAGACTATCAATGAGATGGGCAGAAAGGCAAAGGGGCATTTTGCAAAGCCTACGTTCAATTATTGCTTTGTAATATTTTTCTAAAATTAAAAAATGCCTCACAAGTACATGATCTCATGTAAATATTCTTTGCGGAAGCTTAACATATGTTTGCAGTGTCCCAAAGGAATTACAAAAATATTTCTCTCTACAATCTCTTAAGCTTTTAAACTCTGTTCACTTGCAGTTCTGAAAAAATCTGTTGTTTCTAAAGATTAAAAAAAAAAAAAAGGTAACCCTATATGGGAAGTTTTTTGGGTTTTTTCTGAGATTAGCCATTTGAACTTCAAGTGGAGAACAATTGATGTTATTGATAACACTTCCAGGTTTTATCACTTAAGTATGTTTCTTTATTTTTGGCATAGAAATAATATATTTGGCAAAAAATTAATGTATGCTATTACACAAAGAATAGTAGTTTGTAGCAAGGTCCTAAAAGTGTTTCGAACATGAAATGTGAATGAAAGCACATAACATATTTGGGGCAGAGCTGACAGATACAAGATTACAAATTTGTTTATCTGAGTGTGTTAATGTATAGTCAGACCAGTTAGATAAAGGGCATTTGAAATAACAACAGAGTTATGCCAAATAAAAATTTAAGTAAAGAAAGATTCTGTGCTGTTACAGTAGCCCACAGATTTCAGCAGGTATATGAGTAGAGTGTGCTTGTTCACACCAATTGTAAGGTAATCCAAATAAAAGCATAGGGGATTAAAGAAAAACGATATCCATGTTGGAAAAAAAATTAGATTGACTTACTAGTTGATAGCAGTTATTGTACACAGATTTGCTGTAACCATGTTGAATTTTTTAAATTAGATTTTAAATATATTTTGACAGTCTGAACTTGTATAGTGTGACTAACTATAGGGAGAAATGACAGGTCTGCTTTGTTATTAAACTGCTGTCTGGAAAATATTGGACTCCATACAGTAAATGATAATTATTTTGCCACTTACATTAGTACAGCTAATAGCAATAAGGGTTTTTTGAACCATAGAAAGCTAACTACTTTGAATTACTGTGCTTTGTTATTCACTGTGAAGAAAAAAAGACTTTTTTTTTTTAAGCAACCCCATTTTCATATCACCATTCTAAGCATTCCTTGCTACTAATTTAAACAGAGAGGAAGTTAATAAATAAAAGGGTGGTATCTAAATGGTTTTATTTGTTAAGAGAACATTTGCCATTAAGGTCAGCAGTACCAGCAGCCCAGACCAGAGCCACGGAGGAGGGGGGAAGATGGCAGAGATGAGACCTAGTAAAGTGCCAGGGAAAGCTGGACCAGTTTGTTTCTCTGAAGGATGGGTAATCTGTGAACACCTGAGAGGCAGCCATCAGAGACCATTCAAAGCCTCTCCCACTGTGAACTCAGAATCACTGAGGATGGTGATTCTGAACTGAAGACAGCTTCATAGCTGATCCAAGCTGCCAGGCCAGTGGGTATCCTTATGTCAGCCTCTCTGGGGTCAGAGAAATAGTCAGAGGGCCTGCCATTGCCTTTGACGCTGCTCCCTTCCGTGTGAACTCTTCCTCTGGCAGGCCTGAAGCCAGGTTGTCAAAGCAAGAGGAAGGAAATCGCTCTTCTTTTGGTCTAACTCTGACTTTTTCATAGATAGTTAGGCTGCCTTTAATATACTGTCCTTGAAACCTTTTTCATGGTTATTAATTACCCTTTGTTTATTTTAATATATTTGCTAAATCAGGTACCCAAGGGAATCCTCTGCATCAGTGATGTGAAAAATCCTGTTGCCTGAAGTCCAAGAGGTACATCTTGATTTCTAATTTGCATGTGCTTGTGTTAGTGAGTGTTCCATAAGGGGGAAAGCAAGCAAGGAATGCTGAGAATTGTTTAGGTGTGAAAAGCTCCTGCCTGAGTAGTTTTAGTATTTGAGTTTCACATGTAACATAAATGGTGATACGGGAGCTAAAGAGAAAGGATGCAATATATGTGAGAGCAGCATGCATGTGTTTCTGTATTTATTTCATTACATCGGTATGATGTACAGAGTAACAACTCCACTCTGAGTAAACCTCACATCTTTAGCCGTAACTAGCATGAGTCTGTTGACACTCAAAGAGCTAGTCCTTCTACTTGAATGCCAGACAATTTGGGTGAATCTGTAAAACCAGCATCCATGGCCCTTGGCCAGCTTTACCTGGGCCTTGTAAACATTCCAAATTTACAGCCTCTTAGAATTCACTCCATACTCACATTTGGAAAATTTAGTGTAATTTCAAAGCACAGTGTGTGTCCCCCCTTCTGCATCCAAATGTGGCTTTGGAGACGCTCCCTACTTCAATCTCAGGCAAAAAGAGAGGGGAGGCAATGGGTGGGAGGCAGAAATCTGATTTTCATTTACTAAAAAAAAGATGAAATTAAGCTATTTAAATGGGTTTTCAATTACAAATACCCCAGTGTGAATTTAATTATGAATGCTCTTCATTCGAAGAGCTAGACCAGCACTCTCACCCCAATAATTATTTAGTGTCATCGTGTGATGTATTTGTTACCTCTTATTGGCTAATGGAACGAAGTTTGATTTTTTTTTATTAAAAATTTTGCTTGCTGAGAAATGTGCATGAATTAAAGCCTTTGGTTTCTAGAAAAACTGAGGAGGGGGAGGCGAAAGTCGCATTGTTAAATTGCTACTCTGCAAAGAAGACATTTTATGGATCCAGTGAATTAGGAGTGTTCGAAAACAAAACTCCACTTTTTCCCACTATTCAAAAATAGTCTCTGATTGCTTACTTCTGCATGCTGCTATTATGAAAGTCTTTGAATAACTGGATTGTGAATATTTAACATGATTTCTTTCCTAGCCTTATACAAAATTAACATTTTCTTTAATAGTTCTCATCCATCGATTTTAACTCAGTGTATACTTTTGGGATTAATTTGTGTGTCCATGTGTGTGGATGCAATACCAACACTTTATCTCGCTCTTCTTTTCTCCTTGTCTTTATAATTGCAATTTGAAAGCCATCTATTACATATGATGATCTAGCTCTGCTGGCAGGTTTTGTTACATTGAAGCCAACCATTTTGAGCAAAGAGTTAATGAACTTTTAAGGCAAGGTTCACACTGGTCCTGACCCCATGGTAATATTTCATATAAGGTTACTGGTGGGAGAGAAATCAAATTTCAGCTGTGAACGTGATTGACAGGTGAGAGCAAGGAAGAGAAAGGCATTTGGCCAGATGGGGAATTTGGGGAGGAGAAGGGCAATTCCTCAAAGTTACTCTGTGATATTAGATATTACAAGCTGATATATGAAAAGTTCAATACTTGATACTCTTGGGAGAGTTACTTAGTTTATTTTTCAGAAAGTCACTTTGGTTAAGGGATTTCAGTAGTGAAAGCCAAAAATGGGGAACCACTGGCTTTCTGCTCTCTTGCTAATTTCAACTCCATACAGCTTTGTGCCTTATTTCTGGCAATTTTCTAGGCTGGTGTATGAAAATTAAATCACAAGCCATTTGGGGAGCCATTTAACTATCTTTCATTTATTCTCAGAAACACAGTCTAGATTACATTATGGTTCTTGGGCATATTACAAAATACTCATCCTAAGTGGTATCAGAAAAGGATTAAACTCTCCATTTCTGTAGTATCCGTTGATCCTGACTAACATTTCCATTAGCTCGTGTTACAGCTTAACATACGCAAACCTACCAAAATGCATGATTTATCAAGGTTGTGCCTCCTGAAGATAGATCTTCTAACATGAAGTGAGATGACAATTGCATGCTGCTATTTGATGTAATGTTTTCCATGGTAGCATCCCTGGGTAAGGTGTGATCGTTGCCATGGAGACAAGTGATGATGTTGCTTGACCCTAACACCATGGGTGGCTTTGGGATTCATCTCAGAGACTGTCTCTTGGCTTGAATTGTCAGCAGGAGACACACAACTACCCATGGTTTGCACCAAAGTTGAAAATAGACCTTCAGAACATGTTCTTTCAGCTTGTGTGCTGCAAGACTAATTCGGAAGGTGGGGATGGACCTTAGCCTGCTCATGTCTATGCTCTGCCCATTTCAGATGTTCCTGACATTGGCTAAGACCCATCTGGATGCAACCAAGCCTCACTGAGCTGCCTCGGGGCAGGGCAGATGGGATGCATACATAGGGGAGAGGCCCTTTGTAGCTTTCCTGTCACCCAAGGGAGAAGCTGATGGAACTTGTATAAACAGCACTTCCTGGGTGCCAAGTACCTGTCCATTTTTTTTTTTCTAGTCTTACAATTAGCCGAGTGGATGTGTTTTATCCTGACTGTACCAGTGCCGATATGAATTCAAACAAATGTAGGGAAGGCTTTATTATTTTATGAACTGGGGTAAAAACAAAAAGCATAGCGAAAGTACTAGGAAATCTTGTTTCTACTTTGTACAACTTGTCCTACGTGTTGCCCACCATCATTCAGAAATAAAATGCAAGCATGACTTCCCAATGCCCAGTGTCGGTGGATGTGGGTGCCTTAGCACAGCTATTTAATTCAAACATAAACTTCAAGACATCGTAACTGTGTTTCCCTTGCAGAGTCCACCAAAATATTTTAACAGAAATAGTGAATCAGGGGTCCTCATGCAAAGGATATGTGAAAACACAAGACTGTAAGGTTTGATTTCTTGGTGCCTCCATTTGAAAAGCCCAGGTGAGAAGAGCGGCTGGTCTTGATCCTGTCTTCACTGCAGCCCCCTTGGGGCTTCTAAATACTCAGATTTTAGAGTAAAGCCCCCGTCCCCCAAGACAGCAAGGAGTAGAATGCTGTCTTGCATGCAGATTTGGAGCGTGGACCAGTCCATCACAAGTTCCATGAGTATGTCTTAAGCAAACCACATCAGTGTGTTTTTGACACTGAGAAAATAAGGGGAAATAATTCCGTTTAAAGTGTTTTATTACTCGGACTTACCTTACCTAATGGTTTGTTGTTGTTTCTTGTTTATTTAGATTATGCTCCCATCTAACCACCACGACACCCTCTTGCCATAGAAGGCTGCCTAATGTTTTTCTTTCTGTGGGCACTGGCTCACTAGTGAGCTGATTCAATCAATTAAGTATAGCAGAGAAGGTACAGAGTAACTGGCCTAAGGATGCCACATGAACTCATATTATTTGCAGTCAACTCTAAGATACTATTGAAGGAGCTGACTTAAAGAAACATTACGCATTTGGGGGGAAAATAAAGGAAGAAGGAATTTTTGCAAATGTGTAGCCCTCATTACTTAAAACACAATGATGCTTCTGGAAAGAGCTTTCCTTCTGAAAGCACACATTCAGTCACCTGCCAAAATCTCAGATTGACTGTGGCCGCTCACGGATGCCAATGCTGAAACTCTTTTCACCTGCCACTTGCTGAGTCTTTCATTTCCTCAATCCAAAAATTACTGTAAAGTTGTCGTTTAGTGTCTGCATTTTTTGTTTGTCCTGGCGTCTAATGAAATTATCAGCAATAAATGAGCTAAGCCGAAGGGTTGGTTTTGCTTTTTTTTTTTTGGTCTCCTTTTTGCAGTATTTGAAAAATGCTGGGACAAGGTTAAGCCAGTGGGAAAATTCGGTGTGCCTCTCTTTCCGGCATCTACAGGAAATATAATAAAGCAGTCAGCGCTTATATATTTTCTGATGGGAACTAATACCGAATGGGGGGAGGAGGGAAGCCGTCCTAGGTGCTGAGTGGGAAAATCAGACCAGCTGGGTGAATTGCAGGTCTTGTCAGTGGAGACAACAGCAGCCTCCAGAGCAGTGACCTGGGGCATAAGCCGCTGGAAGATATTAACACCTAATTAACAATCCAGGGACGCATCTTACAACTTAATCACCAGGGAGGTGAGAATGACAGAAAAAGAGAGGAAGGGAGAACACCAGTTGGGTTTTGTTGTTGTGTTTCCCTCAGCAAGCATCATCTAATAATGCGTTGTTCGCATGCAGCTAGTGACGATTTCTTTCTGGTCATTTCAGTCTGTTGAAGAGCACAGAGAGTTCATTTGCTAGCAGGTAGGCAGTGGAGGTGAGAATTGAATTGATCTGAAATTGACCCTGAGGTCACACTTCCTTTAAATTGGGTCCTACAGACAAAGTTTCTTTTCTTCTTCCCTGGCTCCTGCCAGCTCAGAGTTGAGTCAGGGGGTTTGCAATTATTTAAAAGGATTCTGACGCCAGGGTTGACTCCCCCTTCCCGCACCCCCCACCCGCCCCAAAGTTAATCAAAACGGAGACCTTTTGTTACCGGTGGTAGTTAATTAAAGGGCTTGAGTCTATACTGCTATGGTGTGCCTCCGGCTTGTTTATATTTTAAAATGAGGTTCATTCTCGATGTGCAGGAAATTGGTGGGGGGAGCTGACATGGAGGCCTCTTACTGGGCTGAAAATTTTGAATAGGAGAACAGAATTTTCTGTTTACTTTTTAAATATCTCTTCTTTATTTCCCTCCTCTCTCTCTTTAATGGAGCGATTAGAATCCTTTCAAAAAATCTTAAGGTGCACATGCTACGTTTAACAGTGCTTGGAATCATGCATTGCATTTTAGAAGGCCATGCAAGTCTGAGGGAAAGGATGCACAGCGTCTCTCTCCTCCCGGGAGTGAAAGGCGCCAAGAGACATCAGAAAGGCCTTCACTTGTGTTAACCTTTTGGACTCGAGCTATGGACTGCTTTCTCATTCTTTGCTCCACTGGGTAGCCCATACGGTGGTTCTGGCCTGATGCTCAAAGGCTGATTTGTTTATTTGTTATTGGGTTTTCGCAGACTTTTTATCTTTCTCCTTCTCTTTTTCTCCTTTTAAAGCCCCAAAGCACCTTCTCACCATTGCCTAGTAGAGTGAGAGTACCAAGTGCGTGGGCTAGCACAGGCTGTAACAGGCATGTTTGGGGGTGCAATCCTGGGTGCCCCCCACAGGGAAGGAGTGAGAGTTTGTGATGAGGATGGGATTTGCTTTGCTGCCCAGGGCCGAGGGCTCCCGGCTGCCCTCCTCTCCGGCAGCCTTCTGGACGTTCACTGCGCATTCGCAGCCCCTCGGCATCTCGTTCTCTTTCTGGACTCATCGCCCTTCCACATGCTCAGTCTTCATCGACCTAGTGGAGCCAGTGGATGAGAACTTGTGTAACTGCTGCTTTCAGAGTCTTCCCCAGCTTAGCTGTTGGTGATAAAATTGATGGTAAAAATGCGATGTGTTCTAAACTCTATAGTCTCCACCTGCAGTTTCGGGAACTTCGTTATTTGGAATGTTAACTATGTTTGTTCTGATCTTTGCTTACTTAGTCACCTCTGGACAAGACCCTAATTCTAAAGGCATAGAGGTCAGTGGTCACGAAATAGCACATGACTCGTGCTGTAAACCCTCCCTATAGATTTGTGAGCAAACAATATGCCCAGCTGCCAAAGTGAGCTGGTAGGATTTGAGGGGGAGAGTTTGGGCCTTGACCCTGGAAGAAAAGTACAGGGTACGCTGGTTCCTGCCTGAGCACGGGAGGTTTCACCTGGCCAGCCAGAGCTCCGAGCTTTGACAGTCACGCAGTGAAAGTCGCCCTGTTCCGGAGAGGAAAAAACAAAAGTAAGGAAGGATTCTTATTGTTTTTTTGTCTTCCTATTTTATTTGAGCTGGCTGATATTAGTCATGAGACACTTTCCATCCCTGTTGCTGGGAAACTTTTATTCTTTAAGGCATTGGTGGGGGTGTGGGGGTTGTGGTTCTTGCAAGGTGTTCCTGTCATCTTTACTCAATCAACAGTTTACAGTGTCATTCAGATTCCCCATTCTCTCCAGCATCGTTTCCTTCCACAATAAAAAAAGGCACTTCCCGTGTTTGCCACGGTTAACCGATCAGATTTTCACTTTCCGAAAGATGACATCCGAGTGTGTGATTTCACTGTAAATTGTACACTCCGTTGTAACAGATGGATTATTTGTAGAGCTATTGAGGACACAGTTATTCTGAGAATGCGTCTTTTTACTATTTCTTTAAAATTTAATTGGGATCAGGCCACTGCATGGTTTCGACTCAAGGGTTTCTTTCTTTCTTCTCCTTTTTCTTTTTGCTATTGCAAGCTGCAATGAAGTGACTTGTAATTTATAATCAAAGTTTGGGATCGTTAAACTCAACTGTAAAAACCGACTTTGGGGTTTTGCTCATAAAATAAATATTTGAAAAAATATAGCAATGAGACTTATACAGTAGAGGCAATGTCAGTACATATATATCTCTGTATACAAATATATATGCATTTATTTTTTCCGGAGGCTCTTAACGCTCACCTTGATAAAGCATCTTACAAAACTGTGACTTTGTGTAAACGTCCAACTATGAGGATATCCTGATAAGAATGTAAACACATTTTCTTGAATGAACTTCTAATTTGTTTTTTAAACTCCAGTCATAATTCCCATGAACGTATTTTTTCAGTTATATTATTTCTGCACTAAAGAATCAGTGTATAGGTGCTGGAATTCTCTGTCTGTAAGCTATAGTACTCTTTAGCTGGGAAGACTTTTTTTTCTTTCCTCCTAACAAGGAAGCTCATTTAGAAAGAAATGTTTATGTGAAGTGCTTGTCATTTGGCATTTTTACTGGTCTGCTAACCCAAAGGTAAAATATAAAGCCATGTCTTTTCCTCGCTGGCTTGTTGTTACTAGAAGGGTCCCTCCCTTGTTAGCTTGATAAATAATTTTACTAGGGGGACTCTGCTGTATTTTTATGCTTGCTGTCTATTTTCTGCTTGCTGCAAATAAATTTCTGTACTCAGAGGGCACTAAAACTCCAAACACATGGTATTTTCCCATTTTGCTGCTGGTCGCCTGAAATATTTATTCCATCTGGTGTTTTTAATTAATTTTTTAAGGGAAAAAATAATTTCTGATTAGTATCAAACAAAAATGAGTCATATATTTCTCAGGAGCATTTAGATTGGAACCTGGAAGTACAGAATTTTGAAAGGTTTTCTGTGTCAAACCCTGTCATATATTTGTTAAAATGAAGACGAGTTGTTTACTGGGGGAGGAGGGGGGGTCCTGAAGTTTTCTCATTATAGATTTCCTTGTCTGTCTTTCCAACTTTAAATGTTAAGCTGTTACTATGAGAAATAAATAGGGCTATAGAATTCTATCTAGAAACAAGATGCTACACAATAAAATCTTTACATTTGAAAAATGATACTTCAGTGTGAAAGTGGAGATGAAATTGATCATAGGTATTAATATAAAATATCGGCATTTACCTGAGTCCCAGGCATTTAGACCTGGGATTTGTTATGAATAAGGAGAGCTTGGTGTGGGTCACTGGGGCAAAATGGGTGGTCCCCTGGTACAAACCGAAACAAACACACCCTAAAACATCCCAATAAAATAAAATAACATAAAAACTAATGTATTCTATAAAATACAAACACAATGAACACAGCAACTAATAGGCATATAATCAAATATTTAATGAAGGAATGACATTTATGTATGTGGGTAAAACAAGTGATGGTTTTAAATGAACGCCAGATTATCACATTCATTGAAATACGATTTTTTTCAAACGCAGATATTCTGCTTGTTCTTGGCTCATTAGCAGGATTTTATTTTCTGAAATTGGAAAATATTCTTACAAAGGTACCAGAGACATAAATTTGAAACCAGAATGCCAGCACATGTGACCCATGTCAAGAGTATTGGGGAAACTGAGTCAGAGTTTCTCTGGAGCTCAGTTTCTGCAAAGAGCACCAAAATGAAGAGGAAAATGTAGGAAAAGGGGCCTATGAATCAGTTATTCAATATAGATGGAGATCCAAAGGTCAAGATTTCAAACACTTATTTTCTTGAGCTTTGAACCATCATAGTTAATCCCAACATTTTCACTACAGATACACATTAGTTACCAAAACATGTATGTATCTTCTCAAACATGTGTACAGATTTTATTTTCATATCCCACTTATCAGGTATTTCAGAAATGACCTAGTCTTCAAGCTGATGACTTTGTTTCCCCTCCAGCTCTGAAGTTATAGAGGCTATTGAGAATCAGACTATTTTTTATATTTAACGAGAGTTGATATTCAGCGTTTCTTCTGGTCACTTTGGGGCTGTACCAGTTTGTCAGGAGTTGGAGGAAACTTCCGTGGAGTTGAAGACAATGATGTTCCCCCCAGCCCTGCCCTTTGGAGGTCATCCAAAACCTCATAGGCATTGATGACGACAGCTACCATTGATTGTCTCCCGGGAGCCAGGACCTATGCCATCTTTGATCCTTACAACAACTAGAGGGGCAGATATTTTAATCCCCTTTATACAGATGAGGAAACTCAGGCACAAAGCAAATAAGATATAATTTGACCCTATACCACATTCGTGCAGATATTTCTAGATAGACTCCATGCCACCCTCCCCTAGTCAGTTCATTCCCTCCTTCCCAATTAAAAGGCCCAGTTTTTCACCTTAGCACACCTGGTATGAGTTCAGTTGCCCTCTGCTCATTGGTCATCTTTTGCTGAGTGGGA